GGCAATGGATGCATAAATGGTCTGTAGTTTCCAGATGGTCATCACAAAGGACACAAGACTTATCCTGAATCTGCAGCCCTCTTCTTTCAAGATTGGTGCAGGACAGACATTTGTCCAATAAAATTATAAATTACACCTCTTACCTGTTCCCAAAAAAAACAAAAAAAAAAAAACATATGCTGTATCTCTATAGGCATGAAATATAAATGGTACCACCCAGTAACTCAGATAAGATGCATCTTCAAAATTTTCTGATGTTCCTCTGTCAAGTATACTGCTTCAACCATAACAGGTGCTAATATGTAACCTACCATTCTTTTTTATTTTGTTAAGGAAATTTTCATTAAAAAACAGCAAATGCTCAATAACACGCAAACAAGAACAGCACACTACACCATACCACTACAACCAACAGGACACAACTCCAAGGAAACTAACTCAAGCAATCAACTCAGAGGAGAAAAACAAAAACATCTTTCAGCTGAAAGACCGTTAGACGAAAGCCACTGAACTGAACTACAGGACCTATTGACATGCCTAAACTAGACCAGCAACTCCTTACTAATATGACAAAAATCCTGCAACAAGAACAATGAGTCTTTTGGACATCCATCACAAGGACTCAAGATACTATCATGATATATACTTCAAGGTTCATCATCAAGTGGTTGCGTGCTATGATACTTGAGAATGTTGGTTCCTTTATAGAGTCAGTGACTCAACTTGCAAGAGAGTAATTGCTATTTCAGTAGGTCCAAAAGAAAAAAAAAGAAAGAAATAGTCTATTGAATCTGATCAATGAAGGAAATTGAAATCAAGTTTATCTAGAGGTAAGGTGGTTTGAAATTGCAACAAAGTGAACAAAGTGTACAGTGGTACACTGTTCCATGCTGCAAGGCTTCAGCCAGCCATGATCAAAATACATGAACATTAACTGAATATATAGTTAGTAGGTAAATCAAATAGAATAGTATCAAACCAACATAACCAAAAACAGGAGACCTTGTTTACATTTTCATGAATATAACTCCTGAGTGTTGCATATCGTCCTATTCCGATGCTTCAGTAAAGAGTATATAAAATAAAAAAAGAAGCTGAAAAGAGGAAAAAATCGTATATGTTATGTTCTTGACAAAGAATGAGATCTAGAAAAGTTCCTTTTTTTTCAAGCACAGCTGTCAAAAGTGACTTAAGCCCAACAAAAATAATTCAAAAATGATTTGAACCAAAACAACAATAAGAAAGGAGATTTTATGATGATAACATACCTTGCAAGGAAAGACCAGGGTCATTATCATTCTAGATGTCTTTTATTAATCCAAAGTCTATCTTGAATGCAATTCAGGATTTTGAGTCATGAAAGTTCTTCTCCAACTTAACCTTTTCCCCTAGAACCATGCCAACATGTCCTTATACGACATTCTAACATGAAAATATTTCTCGTAATTAACAATAATTGGACTTTTGATGAGCATACTGACCATAGATGCTAGATTCTCTTCCTATATAAATGGCATGCTGAAAAATAAATGAATCCAAAGAAAATTTTAAATGATAGATAGCTATTGGTACACTTCAAGACATGAGTTCGGATTTATCCAGACCTTATCTTGTTTGTCACCATAAAAGTGTTTTTATCTATCAAAGGGTAATAAGATTACCAGTTCACCTATAAAAAGAATTGCTGAAGAAAACCAATGTCTTCTGTTTTTTCTTTTTTTCCTTTTTTTTTGATAGGTGAAGAAAACCAATGTGATAGATGGATATGATGGCAGCTACCTACAAGATCAAGTAAATGCTCCAACCCAACCAAAAACAAGAAAATAATAAATTTTATCCTAAAATAGGGATAAATACTTAAACCTTCCCTGAGGTTTCAAAAAATTGCTAAGACCTTCCCTCACTTTTAAGTTTTATCCTAATCCTTAAGCATTCCATATCAAGCATACGGCCATTAAACCTTGCTAGAATAGGGAGAAATATTAAGAATGCCCTTATGGGTTTTTAGATGTTTGAATTCAATACTAAAAATGACCTTAAGATTGAGATTCATTCCTAACAAAATATGTCGAAGTTGGAGAAGACAATGCTTGGATTGGTCAGGACTCTCATTTTCCTTTGGCTTGAGAAGAGTGCATATAATTGGATGAAGAAAAATTAAATCTGATAAAACCTTGTACTGAAGGTAAACTAAATCTGGTGTTCAATAACAAGCCTAACAGCATTCCCAAATTCAAGGCTTTTATAACCCAACGAAAACATTGTCTACAAGAAGAAACTTATTAAGAAAAAAAAAAATGTCTAGAAAACTTCCTTGCCCAGAAAAAAGGGAAAAAGAAAAGCCCTATATAACTAAATGAGTTAGAAATCAGACAAACGAATGAGTGAAGATGGATCTAACATCCCATCTATTGATCCTGTTTGTTTTTAAACCATTCACAACGAAGCTGACAAAGAAACTATTAACTGAAAGGATCTCAATTAACGGATTAAATGAAAATTACATAAACGATTCGCGTCCAGTGTACCTCAGAAGGTTTGAGCTTGAATGGAACAAAGAAATCAGCTTCGCGTGGCAGAGACGTCGGGCCTCGTCTTCACTCTGCACTCTGCAGTAACCATCCTTTTACTTCTAACTCTCAAGGGTAAATTTGTAATAATATAATAGTTTCAGGGACTTTATTGTCCTCTAATTCGTAATTTCGACGATTTCCTTGTTTCCCGCAAACGCACACAGCGAACGCAACTCTAACTTCCCTGTGTACAACCACCACCAAGTGCGCATGCTATCGGCGAATGGCCGCTACAAACTTCGCAGCTCCGGCGATTCTTAGGAGAGCAGTTGAGACGACTTGGTTCCCTCGTCCCCTCTACAGTGAGAAGCTTCGTTTTCCTGGAATCCTTCGTTCTGTTCCTTTTATAGGAACTCCTCAGATTTCTTCAGGTACGTAGGGAAAACTAAAAACTCTTTAACAAACCCTTCAAGGAAAAAAAGAGCTTTAGAGATAAAGAGAAAGTGAGAGAGAGACTTTGATCTGATGCTCAATTGGTGAAACAGTTAAGGGAATATGTGATGCGGCACATGCTGTAAAGGGAGATGCTGATGCTCTACTGAAAGGGGTTGTGGGTGACAAGAATTCTATCGAGGCTGTGAAGCAAATTCTTGAAATGGTACTATCCTTAACTCAGTGCCAAATGTTCCTTATTCTTTCTTTTTTTTTTCTTCTTATTTACCGCTATAAATAAATAGTTTATTATTAATTTATTAGCTTCACTTGAATTGATCAATGTTATGAAAAACCCAAGAGAAGCATGCACCCAAAAAGAAAGTAAAACAGAGATAAAGAAAAGAAATACAGAGTTGTGCACTTACAACCTCACTCACATAAAACCCTAAACCCCAAAAAATACACTCAATGCCTCAGTCTTATAACAAAGGCTAAGTGTACAAGAGAGAAAACCCCCAAAATACATAACTCTTCATATTCGGTTCGGACCTATAAACTGAATATGGATCGGGTTCATACTGCAGCGGGGTGAATTCATGAAGTAGGTCGCCACAAATAATTTGGTGCACAAAAAATTATTTCGGAGCGGATTCATGAAGTGGGTCACCACAAAGAATTCAAGGCACAAACATAACAAATCTCCACCTTGGCTTGAATTCTCTCAAGCATCACAAGATAGCATCTCCCTCCACCTTCTCCAACAAAAGCCCCAATGGACAAACTTAAATGTTGCAAATACCAATTAAGTTCAAGCAATGCTTGAACTTAGCCACAGGAAGAGGCTTTGTTAACATATCTGTAGTACCAATGTTCCTCACAATGATATCTCCTTGTTCTACAACATCACGGATAAAATGGTACCTCACATCAATGTGTTTTGTCCTCTCATGGTACATTTGATCCTTGGTCAAATGAATAGCACTCTGACTATCACAGTAGACGACAATCACCTTTGCTGGATCTGCTTGAGAATAGAGTAGAAGTTGAGGCATTAAATATCCAAGCTAAACTTGGAAATTTCACAGTATCAAGATGGTGTCCGGGATCAAACTCCAAAGATTTCTTTGTTGAAGATGGAGTGCTGGTGCGTCTCTTAGGACTTCCCTTTCACTTGTGGAAGCAAGAAACTGCTGAAGCCATTGCTTTGATGTGTGGAGGATCACTAGGAGGTACCTTTTGGGAAGACCTTCGTTCAACTTCCATTTTATTGAATGGAGTAAAACCTAAGGAGTTCCTCAGAAGATAGAGGTGCTAGTTGAAGGACAATGTTACTCAGTGTGGCTGGCTTCATCCATTGAATCTGTACTTTGGAAAGAGGCTCGTAGGGAGGGAGATGAGAAGGTTGAAGAAGAAGAACTGCGTGGCAAGAAAGGATTGGATGATTCAAACAAGAAAAGCACTTTCACTAAAATGGAAAAACAGATGTCGGAGAAACAAAAGGGTAGCATTCAGGGGGTGGGATTTTCGCGTGTGGAAGCAGTGAACAGTCTGGAGGGTGGCAGGTCTTTTGCACAGGTTGTAACCGGCGCCAATTTGACTTTTTTGAACAAAATAAGGGGTTGGTCCAGGGAAGAACTGAACTTAGACCCGATAAAACCAAACCGAGCCCATGGTTGGACGTGCGTGACCCTTTTAAAAGTCACGTGAGGTCGCGGTTGTTTAAGAATGGGCCAAAGCCAAAGCCCATGCGGAATGTTATTGGTGTTAATAAAGGCCCAAATGGGTCAGCGGGCCCGACCCAGTCTGTTAAAAAGGCGCGTGAGCCTTTAAAGAATCACGTGACTGGGGTTACGACTAAGATAGACGAGGTTAACGGTCTATCATCGTCCCCAGTCGCGAGACAGGGGGGAATGCGCGCAGTGCCGGAAACTGGAGAAGAAGCTGGATTTGCAATGGGTTTCCCGATGAAGTCTGAAGGAGCTTAGCCCCTTGCGACACTCCTCAAAGAGGCCGAAGCCAAGATACGCTAGGGGAAGAACTGAAGAGAGGGAAGAGAAGAATGAAGGCTAGGTGCAGTGCAGTGAAGGCGATGAAGAATCAGAGGACCTTCCTGTTGATTGTACTAGCGTGGGCAGTGTAAACGACGAAAGTAGTTGTGATGGAGGTTACATGGATGGGTGGAATATTGCAAGCTTATTTCAGGGTGAAGATTGCAACCGGTTCAACTCATTCCCAAGACCACAGAGTGTGCAAGGATTATCAGAAGGGGCAAACCGGGAGAACCGGAAGCAGAGCAGGGACACACCATCTAGGGGTGAACCAGGGGTAGAGTGGAAAGATCACCAGGTTGACCAAAGGACAGAAGTACTTCCCAACCAACTCAGGGAGATAGATGTTTACCAACCTCTGAAACAAGAGAGGGAGGCCGGGAGCAGTCCTTTTCTAGCTTGTCTATCAGTCCCAGGTAATCAAGTGATTTCGTTTTGTGCTACTAATGTGTCTCCTGTGTCTTTGGTTCCAGATTCCGTTTCTGTTCCATGTTCTGTAGCCCATGAATATGCAGCTGAGCTAGCAGGCGGGATCTCCGAGGAGGGGGAGAGGGGGAGAGGGGAAGGAAGGAATGTGGGAAGGTGCGGGAAGGAAGGTATAGGAGTGAAAAAGTGTGGGAAATCATTGAAAGAGTGTCTAAGGAAGTGGAAGGAAAACTGATCTAGAGAAGGGAAGGGGAGGAAGGAAGAGGGGAGGGGTTAGTGGAGAGGAGGGAAAGGAATGAGGGTAGAGATGGAGAGGATTATGGGGAGAGAGCAGGGAAGGAGGGAGGTAACAGGAAAGGGAGGAAGGATGGAGAGGAAAGAACAAAGGTGGGACCAGAGGAGAGGAAGAAAGGGTAGGTGGACAGAGATGGAGGGGATTCTGTAGGAAGGGTAGGGGTGGAGGACTCGGTGAGAGAAGACATGATAGCAGAATTTGTAGGGAAGTTGGGTTGTAGGCTGGAAGATTTGAATGTGTTGAAAGAAAGCTTATAGAAGAGGAAGAAGAAGATCAAAACAAAGAAGAGGAGATTG